ATCATCCATCTATAACGTGAGTGCTAAACGGTTTAAGCCGAACAACTTAAACCCGACCTTTCTCTGGCATTGTCGTCTAGGCCATATAAATGAGAAGCGCATTCAGAAGCTTCATCATGAAGGTCTTCTGGACCCATTTGACTTTGAGTCTCTTGAGTCTTGCGAGTCTTGTTTGATGGGCAAGATGACAAAGAATTCTTTCAAGGGGAAAGGACAGAGAGCGACAGAGTTATTGGCTCTTATACATAGTGTTTATGCGGACCAATGAGCTGTCCAGCTAGAGGAGGATATTTGTAATTTGTTACGTTCACTGATGATTTCAGTCGATACGGTTATGTCTATCTGATGAGACATAAGTCTGAAACACTTGAAATGTTCAAGGCTTTCAGAAACGAAGTACAAAACCAGCTTGGCAAGACGATCAAGACGCTTCGATCTGATCGTGGTAGCGAGTATATGAGCCAAGAGTTTTCTGACTATTTGGTTGATTGTGGTATTGTATCACAATTAACTCCTCCTGGGACGTCACAGCGGCATGGCGTGTCTGAACGGAGGAACCGAACACTGTTAGACATGGTTCGGTCGATGATGAGTCAGACAGATCTTCTGAAGTTCTTTTGGGGCTATGCTTTAGAGACCGTTGCGTACCTACTGAACAAGAGTCCAACAAAGTTGGCTGAAACGACGCCATATGAGATATGGACGGGGAAGCGTCCCGCGTTGTCATTTGTCTAAATTTAGGGTTGTGACGCTTACGTGAAGCGTTAGATTACTGATAAGTTATCCTCCAAATCTGATAAGTGTTTATTTGTAGGCTACCCTAAGGAAACTAAAGGTTACTACTTCTACATTCCGGCAGAGAACAAGGTGTTCATTGCCAGGAATGCGACTTTTATGGAGCGAGAGTTTGTCTCCAAAAGAGTCAGTGGGAGTAGGATCGAACTTGAGGAAGTTCGAAAGCAACAAGTAGACACTGAGCCGAGTGAACAAGTTGAAGACGTTCAACCTGTTTCACTGCCGGTTGTGACTCAACCTTCGACTAGTGAACCTCGAAGATCATGTAGGATTCGCCAAGAGCCTGTGAGATACGGATTTCTCGTGACTGGGAATGAGGAGCTCATGTTATTAGAATATGATGAGCCTACCACTTACCCAGAGGCTATGGCGAGTCCCGACTCTGAGAAATGGCACGAGGCTATGAAGTCTGAGATGCAATCCATGTCAGACAACCAAGTATGGACTCTGGTTGATGCATCTGAAGGAGTAAAACTCATCGTATGCAAGTGGATCTTCAAGAAAAAGACTGACATGGATGGCAACGTGCACACGTATAAGGCACAACTTGTGGCTAAAGGATTCCGTCAAATTCATGATATTCACTATGATGAGACCTTTTCGCCTATAGTCATGCAAAAGTCCATCAGCATCCTGCTTGCCATAGTCGCATATTACGACTTGTGCAAGCTTCAGAGGTCCATTTATGGAGTGAAGTAGGCTTCGAGAAGCTGGAACCTTCGCTTTGATGATCGTATAAGGCACAACTTGTGGCTAAAGGATTCCGTCAAATTCATGATATTCACTATGATGAGACCTTTTCGCCTATAGTCATGCAAAAGTCCATCAGCATCCTGCTTGCCATAGTCGCATATTACGACTTGTGCAAGCTTCAGAGGTCCATTTATGGAGTGAAGTAGGCTTCGAGAAGCTGGAACCTTCGCTTTGATGATACAATCAAAAGGTTTGGTTTCTCACAGAACGAGGACGAGCCATGCGTTTACAAGAAGGTCAGTGGGAGCACAGTAGTATTTCTAGTGTTGTACGTGGATGACATTCTCCTAATAGGGAATGACGTTCCTACCTTGCAAGACGTAAAGTCTTGGCTAGGAACGCAGTTTTCTATGAAGGACCTAGGAGAAGTGGCCTATATTTTAGGCATAAAGATCTATAGAGATAGATCGAGGTGGCTTCTGGGATTGAGTCAGAGTACCTACATCGATAAGGTCATGAAACGGTTCGAGATGCAAGATTCCAAGAAAGGAACCTTATCGATGAGCAGTGGCATAGTTCTCTGCAAGAGTCAGTGTCTGATGAGGACATCCAGACCATAGACGGCATAACAGATAGGAGCTTGGACGAGGGAGCATACTCGGAACTAGGAGTTGAACCGGAGCTAGGAGCTGAACCGGAAAATGAAGAACCGCCTAACCAAATGACGAGCAAGGAACCAAATGTGGCTGCACTCAAACCGGCGAACATTCCCATTCCGGTTCGAATGGATCCATCCCTTACACGATCCAAGACACGAGCACTCCAACAACAATTCAATGCCTTCGTGTCTTATGTTGTGAACGAGCCAAACGCCGGATATGCGTGCCCATTTGCGTTCGGAAAGGGCAAGACCCGACTTATCCTCACTTGTCAAGAATAGATTGCTTCAAACTCAAGACAACACTCAAAGGAAGCTTCTTGGAGGGCAAGCTAACTTCTCCAACAGCTAGTAGCCTCCCACCTACCTCATTCATGGCGAGAATTCTGCAGCTTTGCATGAAGAGTTGCATTTAATTTCTAGTTGATGTTATTTTCCATTTAAATCATGTAGAACTCATGTTGTAATCACCTTTTGATCATTATTCAATCTAAGTCTTATTTTCAGAATTCTCTCCACCTTTGTGTCGAGTTTTCTAGCTGGGTTTGTCCGAGCTTCTTCCTTGGTTTGTCCGAGATTCATCCTTGGTTTGTCCGAGGATCGATTCGGTTTGTCCGAATCTCCTCTCTATCCTTCGTTCATCTCTTTGTTTCGGGATTAAAGTCAAGCATCAATCTGATCAGAGACTGATCCCGGAATCCATCCATCCATTACCCACTCATCTTCCGAACTAGATCGAATTCGAGTGCCACCTTGGCCGGTGCTAGATCCTAGTCCATACTCTCTCCAGAAACAGCCCTTCCGCTAGCCCGTGGCGTACATCATTTTGGTATCAGAGCTTTAACGCTCCAACGGCGATCTAACCCCGGTGAGATCTCTCCATATTTACGTTTTGTTGATTTCATCTCGTTTCTATAAACCGAAAATCGTATTTCACTAAAAACAGTTTTGTATCAACGATTCTACGTAGTTGATCACTTCTCTTTTGTTTGACAGCGAAATCATGGAGCAATCAGCCCCCGAAACTCACCAACAACGCACGCTAGAGCGCTCCACTTCGGTTGTTTCGTTCCTCTTTTCACTTCTTTCAATTTCGTTGATTGAACGCCAAGTGTTCGATTGAGTGTGCGAAAAATCTGTTTTGTTGAATTCGTGTGTTGTATAGGTTCAAGTGCACGTTTGAAGTGTTTTACCTACTGTTCTAATACTCGTTTGTGGTTGTGTAAGTTCGTTGTTTGAACCGCAAGTGACAGCACGTTTATTGCTTTTGTTGATATCGCTTTTCACGTTGATTAATCGCATATCGTTTGTTCGCACGTCGATATCGCTTTGCACGTTGATTGTCGCATGAATTGATTGTGTTGTTTGCTGTACATATTGCTAGTTCGTTAGAATATTATTCGTCATCAGCATGTTGTTTGGTTATAACTCGTTGCATGCCGATTGAACGTTGATTGCGTGATTGTTGCTTGTTTGAATCGCCAGCGCGATGAGTTCAAACAATCTGTCCAACGAAGGTGCGAATGTCGGATCCAACCAAGATCCCATATTCCAAGCCCTTCAACAGATTATGAACCGACTCTCTAGGCTAGAAGAATCCATCCCAACCACACAAACTGTTAGAGAAGCCGAACCCCGAATACGTGAGCCCGTAGAACGACCTAGGCAAAACCGAAACCGAACTCCCGAACCAATAGATGACGGAAGTGACATCGAGCCAAGACATAGACCGAGGAGTCGGGTAGATGATGAGGGGTCGGAATATGCTGAACTGCCTAGACGTCGAGCAATGCTTAGGGCTAGAGCAAGGATAAACCATAGACGAGACGAGTTTGATGACCTCGAAGAAGATCCTTACCGAGAACAGCCCCGTGCTTATCGCGGGCCAACCGAGCTCAAGCTCAAACCCCCATTGTTTCTAGGAAAGGTAGATCCCGAAGCATACTTGGATTGGGAGCGTAGGATGGACAACATCTTTGAATGTTATGCGTACACGGACCGCAAGAAAGTCCAATACGCTGCCGCACAACTTGCGGAACATGCTCTCACGTGGTGGGATCGGGAAGTAAAGAAAGAAGGAGAACTCGTTGTGAGCTGGTGGAAACGTGGCGTGAGATGAAAATCCTCACGCGTAAACGATACGTTCCCCCTCACTTCCACCGTGATCTCCAAAGGAGATACCGTAGAATCGCTCAAGGTGCTAGGACGGTTGAGGAATACTATGAGGAATTTGAGCACCTTAGGAGCCGATTAGAACTCGATGAGGAAGAGGAGACAGTTATGGCTCAGTTCTTGGACGGACTGCAGGAACGGATCGCTCGCAAGGTTGAGCGTCATCCATACCATGACCTTCACGAGTGGCTTCACTTGGCTATACAAGTCGAGAAGCAAGACCAATGGAAACAAAACCGACTAGGTAAGATTAAAGCTTCACCTAGCATCCAATCCCCTAACCCGAAACCTACAACCACACCAAAGAGAGAATTCACCGAGAACAAAGGCATTCTTCACTTTCGGGACAAAGGAAAGGCCACCGAGGTGTCACGAACTAAGACCATCGGTGAGCACCCTCGTGACACTCATGCTAGAGAGATCATGTGTTACAAGTGTCGAGGGAGAGGTCACATGGCTCATGAATGTCCGAACCAAAGAGTTATGATCATTACGTACAAAGGAGAATACGAGTCTATGGACGAAGAGGAAGCGGGTGATCTCGAAGAAGAAATCGAGTATCCGGATAGTGGCGAACTTCTAGTCTAGACAACTGCTTAGTGCTTTAGTAAACCCGGATGAAACGGCCCAGAGAGAGACTATATTCCATACGCGATGTACCGTACAAGGAAAAGTATGCGGTATGATCATTGATAGTGGGTCATGCACCAATGTTGCGAGTGATTACATGGTGATGAAGCTTGGCTTAACCACCGAGAAACACCCACACCCCTACAAGCTTCAATGGCTTAAAAACCAAGGGGAGATCGAGGTGAGCGAGAGAGTTAAGATTCCCTTTAGTATCGGGCGTTATCATGACGAGGTCATGTGTGACGTCGTTCCCATGCAAGCGGGACATATGCTACTGGGTCGGCCTTGGCAGTTCGATAGAGAAGTAACCCACGACGGTAGGGCCAACCAATACTCGCTTGTACACAACAAAAAGAAGGTTGTGTTGGCTCCCCTCAGTCCATCTCAAGTACACGAGATTCAGCTTCGACTAGCAAAGGAAACCGAGCCGAAGAAAGGGAAGTTTTACCTTAAGGCTAGTCAGGTCGACAAGGCTATTAGACAAGAGCAAACAATGCTTCTTCTGGTCTTTAAGGACCTCATGAGCTTGCGGACCGAAGCGCCAAACGATATTCCAGCTGTTAGTCGACTTCTTGAGCGATTTAGAGATGTATTTCCGGAAGAAATACCCGCCGGTCTTCCTCCTATTCGAGGAATCGAGCACCAAATCGATCTTATTACCGATGCGAAAGTGCTACACAATGGGCTTTGAAATAGATGAGAAAATCATGTTATCAGTAACCCTTAGTTTCCTTAGGGTAGCCTATAAATAAACACTTATCAGATTTGGAGGATAACTTATCAGTCATCTGACGCTTTACGTAAGCGTCGTAACCCCAAGTTCTGACAAACGACAACGTGGGACGCTTCCCCATCCATATCTCATATGGCGTCGTTTCAGCCGACTTCGTTGTACTCCTGTTTAGCAGATACGCAGCGGTCTCTAAAGCATAGCCCCAAAAAGACTTCGGAAGATCTGTCTGACTTATCATAGACCGAACCATGTCTAATAGTGTTTGGTTCCTCCGTTCAGACACGCCGTTCCACTGTGGCGTTCTAGGAGGAGTTAATCATGATACAATACCACAATCAACCAGATAGTCAGTGAACTCTTGGCTCATATACTCGCCACCACGATCCGATCGAAGTGCCTTGATTGTCTTGCCAATCTGGTTCTGTACTTTGTTTCTGAAAGCCTTGAACATTTCAAGTGTTTCAGACTTATGTCTCATCAAATAGACATAACCGTATCGACTGAAATCATCAGTGAACATAAGAAATACAGATAACCTCTTCTAGCTGGACAGCTCATTGGGCCGCAAACAAGACTCGCAAGATTCAAGAGACTCAAAGTCAAATGAATCCAGAAGACCTTCAGAATGAAGCTTCTGAATGCGCTTCTCGTTTATATGGCCTAGACGACAATGCCAGGGGAAGGTCGGGTTTAAGTCGTTCGGCTTAAACCGTTTGGTACTCACGTTATAGATGGACGATGTCGAGTTCGAAGGTTGATCATTCAAGACGTATAAACTATTAACTAGATAACCATTACCATAGTAAATACTGTCTCGATAAATCATCAAACTCGAGTTCTCAATCACAAATCGAAAACCATCCAAATCCAGACAAAAAATAGAAATAATGTTTCTGCTAATCG